AGACCTCTTAGGAAGGGGGTGAGGTCAATAGTGGTTAGTTTGAGGTTAAAGGAGTGGGGGTTAGAGGATGTAACAAGGGAGTCAGGTAGGGCATTCCAGGCATTGACCACTCTGTTGCTGAAGTCATACTTTCTGCAACCGAGTTTGGAGGAGTTTATCTTGAGTTTGTATCGGTTGTTTTCTTGTGTGTTGTTGTAATTGAGGCTGAAGAAGTCGTTGACAGCTAAGACATTGTAGCAGATAATTTTGTGTACTATGCTTAGATTGGACCACAGGTGGCACAGTTGTAGAGTGTCCAGGCCCAACATTTCAAGCCTGGAGACATCGGGAATTCTAATGCGACTGGAGGAATGGAGTTTGAAGAGTCTTTGGTGCTCTCTGAGCTTGCTTGTTTTCTTGCTGACGTTTCATCACCCTACCTAGGTAACATCATCAGTGCTGGTGGAGTTTGTTATGAGTTTTCCTCTTGGCTCTTCACCAAAAGAAGAATCCAGAGTAGATGTAGTTGAGTTCAGTAGAAGAAATTGGGACCTGCTTGGCTTCAGTTACCATCAGGATTAAATGTGACACAAGTAAACTATCTCTCCACTTTTATCCTGTCGAAAAGACCTTGAGGCATCTGACTAGGGTGAGAACATGGATTTCCAGAAAGGTTGGATCTGAGAAGATCTATTGTTATTAGCGTATGTGTCCAGCAGAAAGAGAACATGGGATGAGTCCAAGAGTCCTCTCCTCAGGATGAGTGAGGAATGTCCCTCTGATCCTAAAGGGTGGATCGCATGAGCTTCTCTCGGAGTCCATATTTGGAGAATTCAAGCTAAAACGAAACCATGAGGGATAAATCTGAATTTGAAGGACCAGACCCAAGGCTTGATAAAGGCACACATTTTTATTTCATCTTGGTGTGCCCCACAACCGGCTTTGGCTCTCTGTTGTAAGGGACTTCCCTTGACCCTTTGAATATGTCTTCTTTAAAGCTGCCAGAAGAAACAAGGGAAAGAAATGTAGGTGGGATCTCCTAAAGAATTATCACTTCATGCATGGAATATCTTGCATTTTTCCTGACAGGAGAGATTTGATAGAAGCTGCTGCGGTTTCTATTGTTCCTCCATTCGATTAGTGTTACTCTCCCTCTCACAGACAGGATGACTTAATCGGCAGAGCGAAGAGATACTCTCTGGAGTTGCGCTCCTTGCTCAATCCTCACAGCGTTCATTATATTATGCATTCAGGGTTGAAGGAAGAGGAAGAAGCTGAAAGTTACAATTATGTTAATCTTAATCTCTCGACAATACAGACCTCACTTTTTCTTCGATACTTCTCCATATGGATGTCAACTTTTTCATGAGAGAGTGGAATCGCAGGGAGAAAGTTTCTGGACAAAGTTTTCCAGTTTTCTGGATTTCTTCTTTTCCTTTACTGATTGGTTGTTGCTATGGTTGGCATAGTAAGCCCGCTATGGTTTCCTTCAACCCAAGGCGGGCTATCTATTCTGTGCACACATGAATAACATGGAAGGAGAAATCAAGGTAGACTTGACTTACTACAGGCATATTCTCAGTGTCCCTTGACCAGTTGTCCCAAAGGTGCTTCAAAAGGCAACTAGACTTTCTTTTGTTTTTGTTTGAAGACCTTTCGCTCTCATCCAAGAAGCTCCTTCAATTCTGACTGAATTGTGGAATATTTATATTCCTTGCAGCCATCTGGTCATTAGCCCTCTTTCTGAGAGTCGTTGAGGCCATTTGGAGATTGATCTGTGCCCTCAGGGTCACCTCCAAGTGGCCTCAACGATTCTCAAAGAGAGGACTAATGACCAGATAACTGCAAATCCGTTCATTCTCCACCATTCAATCAGAATGGAAGAAGCTTCTTGGATGAGAAGCAAAACATCTTCAAGCCAGACAAGAAAGTCCAGATACCTTTTGAAAGAAAACACCTTTTCAGATGCCTTTTGAAAGAAAACACCAACCACGACCTTGGATAACTGAGAATCTCTGTAGATTTTCCCCTTATGAAGTCTTCCCATTTAGCACAGGCATTGGGGGCCTCACTCCCATCAGTTTGCTTCACTCAGTATATTGTGGTAACCCCTGATCCTACTTTTCTTTCTTTCTTTTTTAATTTTTATTGGTTTTTAAAACAAACATAAACAAACAAGACATCAAAACATCAAGCCGTCTTCCATATATATATACATACAGTGTGCCGGTTGGTTTACAAATTGTTTTGTGCTTCCATTTCGTAGTCTTCAATTACAATTACATTGTATATACTCTCATATTTTCAATCAAATATTAAATACATTAATATCATTATTAATCAATCATTTGACTATACTTTTATTCATTCGTGTTTTACAAAATAATCATATTTTACTTAATTTGTTTTATGACGGTTCATATTATCATCCCAAATCTATCCGAGAATATCATTTTGTAGATATAATAAGAAAAGAATACATCTTTATATATTTATTATTTTCTAAGAATCTACATATTTCATTACTATATTTTATTGTCTAACCATTGATAGAATCGATCCCAAATTTTATAAAATTGTTTATCCTCTTGTTCTCTAATTTCAAATGTCAATCTACTCATTTCAGCACATTCCAATATTTTCTTAATGATTTCCTCCTATGACGGTGTTTTCTCATTTTTCCAGTTTTTAGCAAGTACAATCCTAGCCGCTGTTAATACATTTACAATCAGGTATTTCAAGTCTTTACTATATATTTCAGGTAAAATTCCCAATAAAAATATCTCTGGTTTCAAATCTATATGCTTTTTTGTCATTTTTTCCAACCACATGTGGATTTTAGTCCAATATTTTTTAGCATCCGCACAAGTCCATCGCATATGGTAATATGAGCCAGGTGTCTGATGACATTTCCAACATTTTTTGGATTTATTCTTGAACATTCTTGCTATTCTTGTTGCGGGGAAATGCCACCTGATCCTGCTATCCTAGTAGCCTGGCTTACCAATTCTCTGGAGAACTAACCCTTGGGAGATCATAGATTACTGCCGTCACAGAATAAATGTAACCCAGTTCCCAAATTAAGCCATTTCCTAATTGTCCATTAAATCGTCAACTTAATAGGGTTGGTGCACTAAGTCTCACCCACCTACACACAAAACCTAGCAATCTAACTAGCACCAACCAAGCTTAGCTTTTGCATAAATGAATTCAACAGGACTTTGGCTGACCCGGGGAAATGTATTGTCACAAATGTAAAAGCCCTGCATGTATACGCCCGTGTGTGTTTTTAATTGTGATTTTAACTGCAGCAATTTCAGATTGCATCTTTGATTGTGGGATAGGTTGTCCCAGATCTCTGAACTGGGTAAATGAATTAAATAATAAAGTAAATGCAATGTGACTGGTTCAAAAAAAACATGGCAGGATCATGTGAGAAAAACGTGCAGGTAGACACCAATGAGGAAGAGGAAGGAAAGAAATAAAAATAAAATGAATGGGTTGTTTACCACCCGGTGCTGTTGTCAGGATAAAGCAGAGAGAAAGAGAAAGGAGAGGGTTGATACGGATCCTTCTCAGAAGCAGAAGATGTGATATCCATGCAAAGATCTCTACATTTTAAAAATAGAAAATCTTGCCTGATGCTTGATGCCTGTTTCTGACCAGGTTGAGGTTGGAGGTCACATGGATGGAGACCACAATCCATGTATAATTGAGTTTTGTTTTGATGGCAGTTGGTTAGCCTAGGGCTGCCCTAACTAGATTGCAAACACTAATCCCACCTCTGACTGGCCCTGCCCCCATCTATTCTCCACCTCCTGAGTCCCAGCTGATTGGCTGGGTCTTCTGTAGTCGCCCTGCACAGGAGAACGGAGCTGGAAAGCAGGTTAGTGGGGTGGGAATTTGGATTTTGCGGTATATCCTTCCCCTGCTATGCCCACCAAGCCTTGTCCACAGAATCGGTAGTAAAAAATATTGAATCCCACTACTGCTGCAGGGTGCATAGATCTGGCCCACAGGGCCACCCTGAAAACAGCAAAGGACCAACCCGCGGTACTTCTGTGTGTGCCCTCTCTCCCCGAGCTCCGTTTTTGCTGGCAGCGGGCTATCCAAACAACCCAAAAACAAAACAAAAAGGAGAAATGTTTCCCCTTTTGCATTTGAGCATGCAAGAAGCGACAGGAGAGGAGAAAGGGAAAGAGGAAAAACAAAGAAAAAGAAAGGAAGATAGCAAAGAAGGAAAAAGAAGGAAAGAGGGGAAGGACGAAGGAAGGACAAGGAAGAGGGAAGGAAAAGGGAAGAAAAGGAAGGAAGGAAGGAAGGAAGGAAGGAAGGAAGGAAGGAAGGAAG